AGACTGCGCCACTGCCTCCTCGAGCTCCACCGTGCCGTCGACTGGCGAGGCGGGGATGTCGCTCACCGACACCCTGCGCGGGCTGGGATTGCCCGCGTCGCCGCCGTCGCTGACGCCGACGGCCCTCACTGGCGTCCCGGCGGAGCTGTCGTCCGCGCCGGCGGCGGCGGCGCGCTTCGGGGACGTCCTCACTCGGTGTGTCCTGACTCCGCCTCCTCTCGTCGTCAGAACAGCATCTTGAGACCCCGACTGCTGCCTACTCGCTGGATTATCTCGTGCGGTCGTCGCCCGGTGCCAGCCGCATACTTGGGCAGGGCTCCGTGGCACAGTTCCACGCTTGCTTGCAGGAACCTGGCTGGTCGTGCGCTCGCTGGGGCCGCTGCCCTCGGTGGCCCCGGGCGGCGCGTCGGCGCGGGAGCGCCGTGGGGAACTCGGCGGCCGTCCGCCAGGTGCTCGCCGCGGGCGGGCGGCAGAGTGGCGCCCGCCGCAGGCTGCGCGGTCGGCGCGCCGCGCGCCGCCGAGGCGCCAGGCGCCTAGCCTGGCCACGCACCGCGGCGGCGGGGAGAACGCCGCGAAGCCGCTCCCTGGGCCCACTGGCTTGTCAGGTGGTCCCAGCTGATGTCCTGCCTGCCTTGGCAGGGCCGGGGCGCCCACGGCGTCGAGGCCAGAGGCGGCTGGCTCCGCGTGCGGGGCGAGCGCAGCGAACCGCTCGAGGCGATGGCAGAATGCGGCGGGGCGTCTCCAGCGGCTGCTGCGGCTCCGGCCTGGGCGGCGGCCCCAGGTGCGGGAGCACCGATGCCGCCATCACGGCCGCAGTGGCGGCCCTTGCCACTGCGGCCGTAGGCACGGCGGCTGGCGCCCCCAGCCGGTCGTGCCTGGCGGCCCTGGCCTCGGGCGGGCTGTGGCGGCTCGACGTGTGGAGCCCGGGCTTCGACGCCGCGTGCAGGAACCCGCCGACCAGGACGGACCCGCCCGCCGCAGCTCCCAGCATGGGCCGTTGCAGGGGAGAGGCGGGGGCCAGCAGCTGCCGCAAGCGGCGCCCACGGCGGCTGCGGGGCTGGCGGCAGGCATGCGACTCTCTGGTCCCCTCGGGGCGCCTCCGCGAGGGCCGGCTTGGAGCGCTGCACCGACGGCGACAGCGGCCTGGACGGGGAAGCCCGCCGCCAGCCCGAACATCTCGCAGCCGGCCCGCCGTCCGCCGCATGGAGGCGAGGCTGGGCGCGGGCCGCGTCTGCCGCGGCGGCGACCGCGGCGTCGCGACGCACGCCGAGCTGGCGCCCAGCGGCGGCCGCGTGGGAACTGGGCAGGACGCACGCCGAGCAACCGGGCGGGACCGCGTGGGTGCCGGGCACGACGCAGACCGAACCGCCGCCGCCGCGGCGGCTGCGTGAGCTGGCGCCGAAGTCCCCGGGGCAACGGCTGCTGGGCGGTGCAGGTCGGCCGCTGGCAGGGAGGTGCGCTCCTCCCGATGGGCGCCCTCCATGCCAGCCGCCGCGCCCACGGCCGGGCCTTCCCCCCCCCGCCGCGCGGCCAGGCCGCGCCGCCGGCGCCCCTGGCCAAGCCGCGCCCCCCGCGGGCTGAGGCTCGGGCCAAGTCGGCTACGGACCTGAATCATCAACCTGCCCGCAGTCCGGCCCCAGAGACCCGCTCCCGCCATCGCTCCTGCCCCGGCGCCTCTGGGGCCGCGGGCGCCCACTGCGGAGTGGCGTAGGCACCCTCTCCGGCGGCGTGCTCGCGGAAGAGGGCCCGCAGCTCGGGCTCGAAGGCTCGGAGCACGTCCTGGACGTCCTGCGAGGGCAGATGGGGGACGAGGGGGGGGAACGTCTAAGCATCGGCACTCCAGGGTCCACTTCGATCCGACCGATCCCACTCTGTCTCGATTCCAGCCCGCCCGATCTGATCCGATTCCGACTTTCCGACGATCCGATCCGACGCTGCTGTGCATCCTGGCGCGGTCGATGCGATTCGATTTTGCCTGCGTGCCGATGCATCCATGGAAGGGGGCGGGGGGGGGAAGGTCCAAGGAGGGGACGGGGAAGGCGGAGGGGGGCAGGAGGGGGCGGCGCCCAAACATGGAGGCGACGAGGGGGAGGAAGAGGGGGTGGGGAAGAGCCGGAGGAGCTGGAGCGGGAGCAAGGTGGGGCGAGGGACGAGGGCAAGAGCGGGCAGAGGGGGGGCGAATGCCGCAGACTAGGGAACGGACGAGGAGGAGGATCAGGAGGGGGAGGAGCAATACGATTACGAAAGGAGATGCGTCAAGTCGAATTAGGGGTGAGCATGGTGGTGGTGGTGGTGGTGGTGGTGGTTGTGATAGCAATCATCATTGAATCTTGTACGATGCTTCACATTATGACTATGATTCGGATGATGATGGTGATGATGACGGTGGTTTCGCGAGGAGGAATGGGGGAAGTCCCCTGTCAACTCTACCAGCTCGAGGCAGCACGCGCCCGCCCGCTCATGGCGGAAGAAGGACGTCAAAGTGGTAGTTCGTGTTGCGACGGTCGGCGCAAGAGCCGCTGTCGTCAAGGGAACTGCCGTTGTCGCTGGGATCTGGCTCAGGCTGCAGCCTGTCGTTGCCCTGGCATCGTGCTCGCGTCAGGGCTGGCGGGAGCCACGCGGTGGAGGGTGCGGATAGGCAACGCCGTTGCCCATGAAAACCTTCGCGGACCGAGCGTCACCGCTCGTTCCCGTGTCCTCCCTTTCGACCGCGCCGCCATGCCCAGCGCCGGGGCCGTGGTGGTCACCTCGTGGAGCGGGGCGGTCAGCACGAAGAGGATCATTCCCTCGAAGTTCGGCGCCGCGATTGCAAAGGTAGCGCTCCAGCCGGGCGAATTCTAGGACCGTGGCACTGGAGACGTGAGCCAGCCAGACGATCTTCTACGAGAGCATGTGGGACGTGGGGCTTATGGTCAGCGGCGCGGCGACCGCGTCAACGGCCCAGATCACGAAGCCAACTGAGTGCGTGTCTCGGTTAGAGTCGTGGGCGTAGAGCCACTCTCCGCAAACATCAAGCTCCGCGCACGTGGATCGAGTGCGAGTCTCCGCTGGTGGACCGTCAAAATCCTCGGCAGGAGCTGTGAGTTCACGAAGACCCGGGGGCTCATCGTCACGACCTCGAGGAGCGTGGCCCTGAGTGCCGTGCCCGTGTCCGGGGCCAGGGCCGATGAGGTGCGGCCTGTGGGGCGCGGCGCTCGTCACGCCGACTGTGAGGATCCCTGGCAGGAGCGGTCCCCTGATGGGGGGGCGTCGCCAGATGCAGCGCGTGCGGGTGCTCGTGATCGGGGGGGGGGGGGGTAACGAACGGGGGACAGAGACGAGTGCGTGCGCCTTCCGCTCACCTCCCGGGCCCGCGGTGGCAGCTCAGGGGCCGCTCAGGGCCCCTCCGGGGCCACCCGCTCTCCTGCACTCCTGGGGCACCCCCAGGCTCATTGCCCCCCCCCCCCCCCCCCCCTCCTGTGAAGGAGACGCAAGACTCGGGTTCGGGGGACTCGGGGTGGCCTAACGGGGCCATCATAAAGATGACGAGACCCGGTCTGAAACTCGACGCGAGCTCCCGCTGCATCCATCCCACGAAAACTGGACCGTCAAACTCCAGGACGCGCTCTTCAAAAAGCGTCGGCGAACCCGAGTTCCGGCGTACTCGAGTCAGACGTTTCCCCGAACGTAGCCGTCCGCCCGAGGAGGCCGAAACAAGGGCGACACGCTGGGACTCCCATCCTCAGCCCGCCCGAAGTCCAGGTCCGGGCCTTGGGCCCGCGGTGGCAGCTCAGGGCTCCTTCGGGGCCTCTCTCCTGCAGCCCTCGGCCTCCCCCCCCGCTTTTTGCGTCGGCGGCCGGGCGGAGGGTGACTGCTCCGGCGATCAGGCAAGTAGCCCCTCCTCTGCCGTCCGCCCGACGTGAGCGGCACGAGGGCCGTGCGGCTCCCGGCTTGAGGCGCGGCGTTCCGCCGCGGGGAGCGCTCGGAGGCCGCGAAGGTCGGCGTCCCCCGAGCGTGAGACGTGCTGCCAGCAGCAGCATGTGCCGTGTCTGGGCTCTCCGTGGGGCGACGGAATTCACAGCACGCGGAACCTCGACAGCAATAGCAGCACTCGGGCACGCGCTTACATGGATTCGGGGTCCATGGATGTGGCGCGCGGGCGCCAGATCCACGACTCGGGGCGACGCATGAAGTCAGTGCCGCCTGATCTGGCGACGCAGCGCGCCGACTCCGCATTGAAACGGGACCCGTCTCAAATACACGGGCCCTGATACATGTCTGCGCTTCCTCGATCGCCAGCAAGCGCGAGAGTCCGTTCGTGGAGGTGCTAACCGATTCGCGGCTCGTTAACAACGGGGTCGCGGCGCTCCAAGCGGGGGCGTCCCCAGCAGAAGTGGCGCATGCGGAGATCTGGGAATTGCTGGCCCCGTACTGCCAGACTGGGGACCTCGAGCCGAGATGGATCGAAGGGCATCTCGACGCGGCCAGCGCCAGGGCGCAAGGCATGGCCGAGGAGGACCGCTTCGGCAACGCCGCCGCTGACCAGCTAGCGGGCGCAGCCGCGCGCGCGCGCGGCTCCCGCCGCCCCCCCAGCTCGCTGGGCGGGACAACCGACTGCGCGCCCTGGGCGTCGCGCAGCGGCTGCTGGCGGAGGTGGAGCTGGCAGCGCTGAAGGTCAACCGCAGCAGCGCCGGCGTGGCGTGCTCGGCGCGCAGCCGGGCGTGCCGCCGCAGGGCCCTGCGGCCGGAGCTACCGCAGCACCGGCGCCGCCAGGCGGCAACAGGGCCCGCCGCGTTGCTCTGCTCGCGGGGCAGGCCTGGCAGCTGCACGCCGCAGCGCAAGGTCCTGGATGGGTGGCCTGCGTGCGCTGCGGGGCGTCCGCGCCTACGTGGCCACGGCCGGCGGCGACGACGTGCGCGGGCTGGGCCGCCGCGTTGCCGCCGCGGGCGGCTGCCTTACTGCCGCTGCCGACGGTCCGGGCTGGTGGCCGCGAGGCCGACCGGCGCGCGGCGCTGCGAGCGCGCCAAGTGCAGCGCCTGGGTGCCCGTGTGCAGGCCGCGTGCCGCCCCGCCCCGCCCCCCCCCGTCCCCTCCCTGCGCCCCCCCCTCCTCGACGGCTGCTTTCTGCCGCTGGGCTTCTTCGATGGGTAAAAGAAAGTGGCGTCTGGCACGGGAGCCGCAAGAAGCACGAGGAGGGGCGCGAGAACCTGCCTCTGGAGCACGAGGACTCGCGGAGCGCGGAGATCCGCGCGCTAGACAGACATCGTCCCATGAAGTCTCGTGAGGACGGATGACCAGGAGGCCGAAAAACAGCTCGAGCGAGGTAGCTGAATTGCGCAGGGAAGGCGGAGGTCCGCGCGAGGGCCGCAGGGAGCGCGTGGCCGGCGCCGGGAAACCTGCACCCCAGAAGTGGTGACGTCTTACACTTTTCCTTCCTCTGTCGCTTGACCCCCGTCGGTCTTCCGCCGGCTTCTGCCGAAGGCGGAGGCGCGCCGACGGCGAGGCCCTCTCTGGACCACGCCGTGTGCCACGGCGGCCTCGGGCAGGCGACGTTTGAACTTCGGAGCCTGCAACCCCTTCCGCAATGCTCCGTTCATAACGCGGATCAGCAGGGTCAGGGGGGCGGGAGGGGGACAGAACGGAGGGAAGAGGGAGAGAGAACGAGGAGGGAGGAGGGAGGAGGAGCAGGAGGACGGGAGGCAGCAATGACGAGGGAGCAGGCATAACAAAGAGGGAGGGTAGGAGCAAGTGTATAAGGCAGCCACAGGAAACCACAGGAGCCTCCAGGGGAGCCCATCAGAAAGGGAGATGGGGAGGGGTGGATCCTCCTCCCCCTCGTGCTGTTCTTCCTCCGCCTCCTCCTCCGTTTCCCCGACTCCGCTCCGCCTTTTCCTCCTCCTCTTCATCGCTCCATACCGCTTTTCTTTGTTTCTCGAGGCGCAAGTCACACGCTGGACGGCCAACTGCCGATTGGAATTGTGAGTTTCCTCGCAGCAGCCGGCTCGGCCGTGAAGCAAGAAGTCGGCCTCCCTCCCTCGCTCTCTCCTTCTCTCTTCCTCCTCCTCCTCTCCCTCATTGTCTTCTTTTGTCTTTCCCCCCTCCTCCTCCTCCTCCTCCTCCTCCTCCTCCTCCTCCTCCTCCTCCTCCTCATCCTCCTTTGCTTTATATCTCTGTTCCTCCCTCTGTCACTCATCCCTCCCTCCCTCCCTCCTCCCTCCCCGCTCCCCCCGAGCGAGGCTCCTCGTCGGCCAGGAACGACAGGGCCCCTGCGGTCGCCGACCCCCCCGCGTCACCGCTCGCCAGCTGCAGCACGTGCTCGTCAAAGAGGCGGCGCATCTGTCTCTCGAGGCCCTACCAGAAGGGAGCGGCTTCGGCCGCTCTCGGCCGCTCTTCGTCGTCGTCGTCGTCGTCGTCGTCGTCGTCGTCGTCAACGACGTCGCCGTGCTCATCGTCGTACTCCTCTCCTTCTCTATCGTGCTCTGCCTGTGCCCTCGCTCTGCCACGCGCAGGCCCTGCTGGAGGTACGCGGTGCGGCGTAGGAGGGAGATCTCGGCGGGAGGACGAGGTGGGAGGAGGACATCGTCCTCCTCGTCCTCCCCTTCATCCTGCTTCCGCTCTGCCTGTCATTCCTGCGTGCGCACAGGGAGCGCACGCGTGGCCTACTCTCCGCTCGTGTAGATGATGATCGGTAAAACTGAATCTCGGTTACACCAGATCGGGAGCTTCGGTCGCAGACTGTGGCGAATCCAAAAACCAGATCGGCCCGCTCACGCACCCCCCCCTCCTCCTCGCGACGACGACGCCGACGATCGATCGGCCAAGGAGATCCCGGAGGTCTCCAGTCCCCACAGATTCCCGGGCCCCCCCGTGCACCACAAAACCTAAACAGGAACCCTCGATCCTCGATCTTCGACGCCGACGACGATGACGACGACGACGGCGACGACGACGACGACGACGACGACGACGGCGGCGGCGGCGGCGGCGGCGGCGGCGGTGGCAACGACCGTGGCGGCGGCGGCGTTCCATCTTGGCGCGGAGCGCGGACGCCTCCACGTCGGGGCCCGTTCGAAGCCCGTCCAAGGTCAATTCGCGCGGGGTCAATCTGGGGTCAGTCCGGGATCCCCCTGCCGGGTCAATCTGGGGTCAATTCCAGGTCAATCCTGGGTCAATCTGGTCCGTCCTGGGGTCAGTCTGGGGTCAATACGGGTCAATCTGGGGTCAACCCGGGGTCAATCAAGGGTCAATCCGGATCTATCCGAGACCAATCTTGGCCAGATGCCGTCCGGGGTCAGTCCGGGGTGAATCCGGAGTCGGTCTGGGTCAACCCAGACTCAGTCCAGGGTTCATCTGGGATCAGTCTGGGTCAGTCCAGGGATCAGGCGGGATATAGGTCCAGGGACCACCGTCCCCCAAATGCAGGCATGGTACTCTGGCAGCGGCAAGCGGCAGAAGCAGCAGCAGCAGCAACGGCCATAGCAACATAATATCTGGAGCGCTCTGGGAACATCTCTACTTCATGCTGAGGCCCTGGCTCGGTAAAATTAAACTTGGTCGAATTAGGTCTCGGCTGAATTTGGTCGGTATCTGATATCTAAGTTAAATGATTGGAATGTGGTCTGCTAGGTGCGGTGGAAGCGAGAAGTGCTAAAGGCGAAGGACACCGAATGCACAATTCATTCAACATCCTTTTCACTGTGGCCACGCACGTGCCTCCTGCGAGCTCTGACGCCGCTCTACATAAAGTGCGCGCTGGCAGCAGGAGGCGCCCGTGTAGTACACACCAGAGGAGTTTATCGCGGCCTACAGGCGCGAGGGAACGCTCTGGCCCATAACAACCATCCCCACACCGTCATCTGTACAAGAGGACCTCCAACAAGGCCTGAAGAAACCCAGTTCCCAGCGGGTTTTTGAATGATGTTCGCAATCTTGCCTTTTCGGGCTTCCGTCAGCTCAAGATGGCCCAAGAAGCCTCCACGATGGCCCCAAGACGGCCCAAGAGGCCCCCCAAAGGGTTCCAAGATGGCCCAAGAGGTCCCAATATGGCTCAAGAGGCACCCACGACGGCCCCCAAACTGCCCAAGAGACGCCGCTCGACGGTCAACGGCCCACACGACGGCCCCCAAACACCCACCGTTCGGCAAGGTCGCCCCAAGACGGCCCAAGAACCCCAAGAAGGTGTAAGTGGGACCCAAGACGGCCCAAGAGGGCCTCAAGGGACCCCGAAGACTGCCTCGAGACTGCCCAAGCGAGTTCCACGGAGCTCCTCAAATAGTGAAGGCGGAAGGTGCCTCAAGCGACGGTATTTCTTTTCCTCCTCCTTGTTGTCCACCTCCTCGTCCTCCTCGTCCTCTTCCTCCCCCTTCATCATCATCATCATCATCATCATCATCATCATCATCATCATCATCATCATTATCATCCTCATCAAGATCGTCATCATCATCCTCATCCTCACCCTCACACTCATCATCATCACTATCACCACCACCATCATCATCACTGTCAGTACCAGTATCATCATAATCATAATCATCATCATCATCATCATCATCATCATCATCATCATCGCCGTCTTCACCATCATCACCATCATCACCATCATCACCATCATCATCACATACACCATCATCACCACCATCATCATGATCATGGTCATGATCAACATCATCAGCATCATCACCATCATCGTCGTCATCATGATCATCCTCATCCTCATCCTCCTAACCATCAGTACCAACACAATCGTCATCGTCATACGCACCATTGCCATGAACAACCTCATCACATTCTCATCAAAACCGCAAGCATTAGCGTCATTATTATCAACACCACCATCATCGTCCTCATCATCATCACTAACATCATCATTATCATCGTCATCGCCACCAATGTCATCATACGCATCATCATCACCATCAGCATTATCATCATCATCATCATCATCATCATCACCCCCGTAGTCGTCATCACCATTCTCATCATTCTCATCATCGTCATCATCATCAGCGTCAGCATCAGCAACATCAGCAACATCATTATCATCATTATCATCATCCCCGTAGTCGTCATCACCATCATCAGCATCATCATCATCATTCTCATCATCGTCATCATCATCAGCGTCAGCAACATCATTATCATCAGCGGCATCATCATCATCATCATCATCACCATCATCATTATCATCGTCGGAATCACCATCGTCATCGTCATCGTCATCGTCGTCATCATCATCATCAGCAACATGACCATCATCATCATCACCATCATCATCATCATCATCACCATCACATCATCATCGTCATCATCATCATCATCATCATCGACATTACCATCATTATCCTCATCACCATCACCATTACCATCATCATCGCCGTTATCAAAATCATCATCTGCATCCTCATCATGGCTCTCCCAACCCTGGAGACACGAAGTGTCACACGTGACAACGTGACGGCCTCCCGTGCTGCCTCGGGCAATCGCCACCCAGAGCGCTGGGCTGGCACGGATGCGGAACTTGCCGCAGGCGGCTGGATGTTTCGATGTGTGGCAACTTGGTGAAATCACAAACGCCGCGGCCGTGCCATTGCGCAGACAGAACGTGCGCGTTGTCGCCATGGAGCCCCATGCGCAGATGTCTGCGGCCACTAATTTTAGAGGTGGTGCTGTACTTTGAGAAGCCACGGCTGGTACTTCTTTAACTTCGGGCTCCGACGCGGTGTTCCAACGCGCGAAGAGGCTCCCTCTGGTCGGTACATATCAAATATGCCGATGGAGACATCGTGCATACGGTCTGCTATGGTTACCTCGCGGGAATCCTTGTCCGAAAATCTGCAGGCCCCTGAGGTGCTGCTTGGGCCCCACTGGCGTGAGCAAGCAGCGTAGCCAGGATAATCAAGTGCGTGGTGGCGCTGGCCACGCTGCTGGATTAGGCCCCGCCTTGCCCAGCCACACTCGCGGCTGACCAGACCAGGGGTCAGCTCGCCATGCGAACTATCCACGACGTCGTGCCGCGGAAGCCCAGCACGCCGCCACGCCTTCGAGAAGCTGCCTGAGCCTGCAAGAAAATCTCGAGGGCCACCTGGTGGCCCTGGCGATGATCGTCCTGAGGCCACCAAGGATCGCTCGAGCTCGGGCGGGGCGCTGGCTCACTTCGTTGCGCTCGTGGCAGCCGGGCTGGCTGCCTGCCGGCCTCTGGACGCGCGCGACGAGCAGGTCGGCCGCCGCCAGCAAGCCTCGGAACACGCAGAGGACCTGGCTGCCGGCCTCTGGACGGGGCCGCCCGCTCGATGGCGGGCTGTGCAGCGGGCCCTGCATGGGCCCCTTGCGGCCACTCCCTGGGCGGCACAGGCCAATCCTGCGCGTGCGCGTGCGGAAGGCGGCGGCGCAGCAGCGCGGCCAGTCCGCGGCGGGCCCCGTGCCGGCGATGGCACCCATGGCGGCCAGTCGAGGTGCACCCAGCGCTCATGAGTCACCTCACTTCGCGCGTCGCGCATCGCGACGCGCGGTTGTCTCCCCGCCCTCGCGAGGCCCCCTTGAGAAGGCCAGCTCACAGGCCCCGGGCTGCGACGCGCGAAGCGCGCGAATATCTTCGCATCGCCTGGGGGGAGCTCGTGGGCCTCGTGGGCCCCGCGCCCGAGCCTGGGCGGCCGCTCCTGTAGGTCCGCGCCGGGGCCCCCCTGTGCAGGCGCCGTCTGGAGGTCTGGAGGTTCACGAGTCACGAGTCACGACCGGAAGCCCAGGCCCAGCAAGCTCAGCTTAGGCTGTGCGGGGCCAGTTCCTCGCCAGGGGGTGGGGCGCCTCGCTCCGCATGGACGTGCGCTCTTCCGACGGCGTGCGGGCGGCGAGGCTGCCCGCCGAGCTCGGTGTGACACCGCAATGGTCCGTCTCGGGCTGGGAGGGGCCGCTGCCGAATCGGAGGTCGAGGAAGAGGAGGACGACCTAGAAGGGGCGTGTGGTGCAGGCCAACCACGCCGCTGGCGGTCCCGACAGCGTACCTGGCCGCCATGCCTGTGCCGCGGAGCACGGCCGTGCTGATAGGCTCGCGCTTGGGGTGGTGCTTCGCCATCCGCCAGAGCTGCCAAGCGGCGGCGACAGTGAGCAAACCCTCGGCATTTGGGAGAAGCCCTCGCCTGCGCTCGAGGGTCCGTGTGGGGGGTCCTGGTGGGGGCCGCTTCTGGAGGCCTTCGCGGGGTGTGCCGTCGAGCTTCCGGGGGTCCGCCATCGCGTCCTCGAGAGCATGCGAGGGGACGCTGTGATGGGTGGTGTGATGCGGGAAGCTCTTGCTGGCCTCCACCATGTGGTCGTGTCCACAGCGCCTTTTCCCGGCTGCCGTTGTCGCGGGCCTCGGCCTGGTCCGCGAAGTGGGGGAGCCGCTGGCCCGCCCGACCGAGCACGCCGACGACGGGCCGCCGTGAGATCAGCGTCCTGGTCGCCGTTCCACACGAAGGCAGCAGCTCCCTGGGTGACGATGGACTGGAACTCGGGGCCGACCCAGCCGTTCCAGTCTTGGAGCGTGCACGTGGTGGGAGGGGCCTTCCATGATTCCAGAGAGTGCGGGTACTTATGCTGCATACCTTCCAGGGTATCAGCAGAATTTGGGTCACGCAAGGCTCGGATTCGGCGAAGGTGTCGGCAAGCGAACGTGCGATCGCGCGGGCCCCCTCCTGCCACTTCAGGCTGGGTGTCGCCAAGTTGACCGCTGCCGTGGCTCCATGCCCGACAACGAGCTGGGGTAAATCGCGGCGTCGGTAATCTTGAACTGTGCCCCGTACGACTTGACTTGCTGGAGCTCCACCTTCCTCCTCGTCCCACCTCCTCCTGGTCATCGTCGTCCTCTCCCTCTTCATCGTTTTTGCCCGTCCTGATTCTCGTCCTCCTCGTCCTTCTCATCCGCTCTTGACCCCGCCCCCCAGACGGCCAGCCTTCTCCAATGGGAAACGCACGATCGACATCCGCACGAGCGCCTCCAGGAAGTGCCTGCCAACGTGAGTGGAGTGGGGGTTCGGCGATGCACGTGTGCATTTCAGAGGCTATAGGAAGTCTCGGGGAATCTGGCGAACTTCACGGGGGTGGAGCAGGAGGCGTCGGAGGACTCGGAGTCGGAGTCGGGGTCGGACGAGGAAGAGGAGGACAACGACCCGGACGAACACGAGAGCCTCCCCCCCTCCCCCTCCTCCTCCTTCTCGGACTCCTCCCTGTTCCCGCTCCTCGTCCTCCGCCGCCGCCCCGAGGAGGCAGACAAGCAGGCAGGCTCTCCTACTGCTCCTTTTATCCCCGTCTGCCTCCCGCCCTCCCTTCCCCTCCCTCTCCACTCCGTCCACGAAGTGCAGGAGGAGGCTGGTGGAGGAGCAGGAGGAGGGAGAAGGGCAAGGAGGAACACGAGAAGGGACTCTGACAAGGCGGAGGGGGGAGGCAACATCTCCTCCTCCCCTTTCTCCTCCTCCTCCTCCTCCTCCTCCTCCACCTCCTCCTCCTCCTCCTCCTCCTCCTCCTCCTCCTCCTCCTACAAGGCTACCAGTGGTGGGCCGCCGAGCCAGAGGCTGCACGAGGCCGCGCGGCGGTGCTGCGGAGCGACCGCGGCTCGGCCAGTCTCTTGGCCAATCTGGTGGGCTTGTGGGGTGAGGGCCCCAGAAGGCCCCGACTGGCCCCCTCAGCACTGTAGAGACAGGGTTCTCCGTAGCCTCTCGGATCAGGCCTGAGCCCGACGAGGGGTGGCGGCTCCGCCAGACCTGCACGTCCAGCGCTTGCGGCGGCGGTCCGCCTCGGAGGACTGCAAGCGAGAAGGCCCTGCAGGGGGCGAGCTGCGGGTGTGGAGGACATGGCCCAGGCCACCGAAGCGCGCACGCTGGGCCCAGGGTGGCGGGCAGGGGAGAAAAGACAGGGAAGGGGAAGGAGGAAACGACGAGATGGGAGCTCCTCCTTCTGGTCGTCGCCGTCGTTGTCAGCGTTCTCCTCCTCCTCCTCCTCCTCTTCCTCCCTCCTCCTCATCCTTCTCCTCCTCCTCCTCCTCCTCCTCCTCCTCCTCTTCCTCCTCCTCCTCCTCCTCCGCCTCCGCCTCCGCCTCCGCCTCCTCCTCCATTCCGCTTCCATGTGAATAACTCCTCCATGTCGCACCCCCCAGACGTGTTGGTAGGGCGTACCGGGCGTTTCGCCTGAGACTTCCGCCCTTTTATGATCCTGGAACTTGAAATTCGTAGCAGTCTCACGGATGGAGGGCGGTCCGTTTTCAAAATGTGGCTCTCGCCTGATCGCCGCGTACATTCGCTTTGAATCTTTGCCGATGTTTCAAGGATGGAGAGCGCCCGTTCTCAAAATGTGGCCCTCGCCTGATCGCCGCGAACATTCGCCTTTAAGGATTGCAACAAGTTCGCGGGCGTACGGTGAGCTGTTTTCGAAATGTGGCTCTCGCCTTCGCGCAGCGCACATTCGCCATACAAGTTTGCAACATGTTGAAGGAGGACGGTTGGTTCGTTGTCAAAAACCAATGAGGGGAACACTTCCTAGTGCATGGGCGCAATGCTGGGCACTACTTGATATTGCTTCGGGTTGCTTGGCATTGCTTGGAACGGGCACAGAAAGAATACGAGGCACCGGGGGTGGGGAAACCCGAAGAACCCGAGAAGCCCAAGGAGCCCGGGGAACCCGAAGAACCCGCGGAACCTGGGGAACCCGGAGAACCCGAGTAACCCAGGAAATCCGCCGCCCCCTTTTGATTTATCAAACGGGTGCCTGGCGTGCCGAATTATATGGCTTTTGGTTCTTTTTCCAAAAGAGCTCCCCCTGGGGCTTCGGCCCGTCCCGCCGGCCACCCAGAAAACCCGTCTGTCGTCGCCAAAAAAGCCCGTTTCGCTCGGGACAGCCTCAACAAATCGCGAAGATGGCCCAAGATGGCCTTCAAGTCCGCCCAAGATGGTCCAAGACGGCCTCCTAGACGGCCCAAGAGAGTCCAAGACGGCCCAAGACGGCCCAAGAGGCCCCCCCGAGGCCTCCAAGACGGCCCAAGAGGCCTCCAAGAGGTCCTCCAGGAGGGCCCGAAGATGCCAAAATCATTGATTCTCCTTAGGTTTCTGAAGGATTTTGGAATTTGCTTCTTCTCGGCATTCCGACGGCTCAAGACGGCCCAAGAGGCCCCCAAGATCGCCTTCCAAGCATTCGCGCTTAGCGCCGCGCGCATTTGTAATGATTGCGTGCACCAGGACTTGTGTTCTGGCAAGGTTTCGAATTGTCAGGACGCAGCTGTCACGTTGATTCGCGGAGTTGAAGACCCAAAAATTGTGTTCCAGCGCGCATTAGGATTGTCAAGGCGCAACAGTCACGTTGATCCGCGACGCTGAAATCCCAGGAATGGCGCTGTGGCACGGTTGGCGATTTTCATGCGGTTGTCTTCCACTGACAGAATGAAAACTCTTGTAGGGCTTTATGAAGAGAGAATTGGAGGGAGGGTTTAATTCGATATCGTCGATGCGTCTTGGATTTGCACTGGCCTCTCGTCCTTCTGCTCTTCCTTCGTCTTCGCCTCCCTCCTCCTATCCTGCTTCCTTCTCATTCCCCTTCTCTTCCTGCTTCCCTCACACCCCCACTCCCTCCCCTCCTTCGCCTTCTCATCCTCCTCCTCTTTCAGTCTCCTCGTAGGTGAAATAAAAGAGGCAGGCGGAGGAGAAAGGAGGACGCGGAGGAGAAAACGGAGATGGCGCCACCCCGGAGAAGGACGCAACAGCAAGGCGCAGGGCCGCACGGGTCCACGGGAACCCGGAAGAGGACTTCGCCGTAGGACAGGCCGAGAGGGACTTCTCGTGGACGCGGCGCGCACTCTGGGGGGAGGCGTGATGCCGTGGTAACGATGCGGCAAGCAATGGGTGGGCAAGGGTGGATCCACGACAGGAGGGGCCAATGAGGGCGGCTGGACCCTCACGCTGGCCGTCAGAGCCTCAGGCGCAGTCGGGCACACCGATGTCGGCACGCCGGTGGAGATTTGCCCACAAGAGTCCAGGCGCTTGGAGACCGTGGTGGCAACTTGCGCAGCAGCCGCCAGTGGGGCCAGGCTGGTGTCCTCGAGCGCTCCTACAAAACGCCGAAGCTGCGGATTGAGCCAACGCGGAGAACTACGAGACAGGCCTGGGAGGATCCTCCGAGGACGAACTATATTCCGCCGCCTCAATCGCACTGATCCGTGGAGCGCGGGCGGGCGACGATGAACACGTTGCTTCCACGCTGCAGGCTATCGCACGCGGGAGTATGGCACAATGCGATGTGACACGTCGTCCAGAGCTGAAGAGCGAGGCAAGCCAGCGTGCCACAATATGGCCTTCGCCGTGGTGGTCCGCGCCACGCGTGAACCTGATGGGCCACAACGGGCTCAACCGAAGAATTCCGATAGGTGTTTCTGTTTGGACCTTTCGGATGGCTGCCCTGTCAAGTTAGGACTAAAACTCCCGGGCCCTTCCGCCTGCTACGACTACCCGCAATTCCCGGGTTCTTCCGACAATCATCAGAACGTGTGCTAGCGCCGAACGTGTAGCTGTCCACCGAAGCCGTTCCATACGACGCAGGCGGTGTAAGAAGGGGCCAGCACAAGCTGCGCGCCATCGGCGGAACCGAACGAGGCAAACTCATACTGGGCTAACAGCCAACACACGTTCTGAGGATCAGCGCCTCTCCTCGCGCCCGATCGTGCGCTGTGGTCCGGGCCGCGGCCACGGGGCGCGGACGCCTCGGCGGGGGAGTGGCGCCAACGTTGGCGCAGATGGCCCAGCCTGCAACACAAAGGAACCTCACGTGAGGAGCACCGCTCGGGGGGAGTATCGGGCGGCTGCTCCAGCCACATGTCTGCGAGGACCAGCCGCTCGGCGAGAGGCTTCCACGGCTGCGCTCGTCAACTGGCTGCCCTCTGCATGCTGCGTTGAGGGCCAACGATCGGGGGGACCAGCTTAGGAGGGGAACATCGACCTGGAATCGGCGATACATCGCCGATCAATCGGCAACAAGCTCCTGATAGCGGATCCGCACGCTCTCTCCGGGTGGGGTGGGCTATCGGGCTCTGATCGGCGTTCAGTGGGCGACTGGGGGTCGATGCATTCCCCTTCTGAGCCGCGTACCCCCCTAACGTTGCCCCCGACCCACGAACAGTGATTCAACTCGGGGTTTCTTGCTTGGCCTCTGATGGGCTGACGATACAGCAGTGGCCGGCGACGACACAGTAGCGACACACGATAAGCTATGTTACTATAAGAAATCTTGGGGCACATTCTTCGTCGATTTTTGAGGGCCCTCAGGTGGCCCAGAGCCTCTGTGGGTCCCTGGGGCCATCGGGCGATAAGAATTTTCCATGGGGAACCTGCTGGCAGGCAAATTTCTGATGTGGTGCGCATGCTGTGTCGTCCCACGATATAGGGTACCGATGTGGTCCTAAAAACTGGGGGGCCACACGATAGGGTCCGACATGGCATGACCTCACAAATCACATCGCATAGTCGGAACCTCATAGTATGAGCAGGGGGCGACCGTCTTGGAATTCTAATCGGACTACAAAGACATGTTCCTAGAACGAGAGCTTGTTCGAACAACAAAGCAATGTTCTCATAACATGTACGACAATGTAGGTCCCAAACAGTGTGTTTCTAGGAGCCGACGTTATCTATTCATTTCGACCCTCCAAAGTCTGCGTTGCTACTGACCAGCCGAGGAGCTCGAACAAACTAAGACTAATATGCGGCAATCCTATGTTCCTGGCATGTAAGCCCAACGCAGATTCAATCCTTCTGCGCGCACTGGAATGCCCAAGAGCCCCTGGAGACTCGCGGTCCCACCCGCACACAGATGGGACCAAGAAGAGTATGGAAAGACTGGCCGCTCGAATCCCTCTGTGCTTCAGCCCGCAAAGCGTCGGGTGCTGCCGTGCACTCCTTGAAGCCCTAGAGCATCACCGCATGGGGCGGCATGGCCAACCTGACCGCCCACGCGAAAGACCCCACCTGGGAAGAAGCCCGGAACAACCCGTCCGACCAGCAGTGCCAATTTGCGTGGTGCAATCCGCGATGTGCAACCAGTGGTTTGCAATCCATGCTGTGCAATCT